GAAACCACAAATGTTGAGCTGCAAAAATCTTAACATTCTGAGCAAAATCTGATTTCTAATTGATTTTTTTTCTTATGGAATCCATTCTGAGGGTATTGCTGGTTTCAGGAACCCATTCTGAGGAACCTTGGAAATTCCTGGGGTAGGGGCGATTTAAGAGAGATGAGTCCCGCTGCAGTGTTGTAAAAGGCATGTATTTATGTTTGATGTTTACATGGATAACATGGTTCTAAGCAAGGTACATGTGATTCATAGTTGAGGACACTCTTGTAGAGCTCCTGTAGAGAAAGTGGCAATGTCCCCTTGTCATTCCTTCTAATCCATCCATCACTGGGGATGACTTTGATGGTTTTTTTTTTTTAACTATATGCAGGTCATTGGACTGGAATTAAAAACAAAAACAAATGATTAGTAAGATTGTCTTAGTCTTAGTCAGTGTTCAATTGCTGGAAAGAGACACCATGACTTCAGCAACTCTTTTTTTTTTTTTTTTTTTTTTGGTTTTTCGAGACAGGGTTTCTCTGTATAGCTTTGCGCCTTTCCTGGAACTCACTTGGTAGCCCAGGCTGGCCTCGAACTCACAGAGATCCGCCTGCCTCTGCCTCCCAAGTGCTGGGATTAAAGGCGTGCGCCACCACCGCCCGGCTCAGCAACTCTTATAAATGAAAATATTTAATTTAGGGCTGGCTTACAAGTGCAGAGGTTTCGTCCATTATTGTCATGATGGGAAGCATGGCAACATACAGACAGATATGGTGCAGGAGAGGTTGCTGATAGTACTACATCTGAATCAGTAGGCAGCATGAAGAAAGAGAGACACTGAGCCTGGCTTGAGCACTTGAAACCTCAAAGCCCACCCACAGTGACACACTTCCTCCAATAGGGCTACATCTCCTAATAGTGCCTCTTCCTGGTGACCAAGCATTCAAATCTATTAGCCTATTGGGGGGGCGCATTTTTATTCAAACCACCACAAAGATCCAAAGTCCGCTTACGGGGAGCTTAAAACTGAGTAAAGCACGCACTCTGGATGTTAGGATCCTTGTGGATGTTTTTCCTCAAGGGATTTACTGATGCACTGCTTCCCAGAATTCCCTAGGAGAAGCCCTGATGTCTCTATTTCCACTGTGTCGCTCAGATGGACATTAATGGAGTCCTCGAGGACTTACATTAGAGGCTGTGTTAAGTGGTAGTTAATCTCTCTGAGTTCATTTATGAAAGGTCTAAGTTTCCATTTTAGCTGACATGAGTTATTACAAATGAAAGCCACTAACCCATTATTATAAAATTCTTGTAGTTTTTTCCCCCCTCTGCTGATTTTGAAGAATTTTCAGCTAAATAATGTCCTGTAGGGACTAATTTTCTGCCTTAATTTTGTAAGTCTATATGTTCCCTTAGATTCAAGCAGCATTTCTAAATTCTACTTAGTGAAGACTCTTTGGAGTTCTAACCATAAAATCAGTGGTCAAATTACTAGGGTTAAAAAAATGCATTTTTGCTTTAAAAAAATGTACAGATGGAAGAGTGACTTTTAGTGTGTTTGTGAGAGAACATACATGTGTGAAAACTCACAAGCTCTATAGAGTGGTGGACAACCTTCATGAACTCTTGTTGACCAAGTGAATCAACAAGAATTATAACTTTCATCTTTAAGGCCCCAGTTCAAGGCTGAGTCCTTGAAGGCCTGGCTGTTAACCCCCTGCTATCAAAGTCTGGAGCACGCATGCAGGAGAGCCAGTTAGGAGCTAACCAGATCACAGTGAGGAGAAGAGGCAGACAGCTCTGCCTTTGCTGATTAGTTTAATTAACTTGATAAAAATTGAGTCACTCAGGGGGAAGGAACCTTAATTTAGGAAGTGCTATCATCTGACTGACCTGTGGGCAGATTTGTGGGGTATTTTCTTGATTATTGATTGATGTGGGAGTTTTAGAACATCATGTGAATACATTTTTCACCAGCTTTCTGTTTTCAATGGCTTCCTTCACTGTCTAAGCTTGGCTGTCCTGGAACTTGAGCTGTAGACCAGTCTAACCTCAAACACAGAGATCTGCCTGCCTCTGTTTTCTCTGAGTGCTGGGATTAAAGGCATGCACCATCAAGCTTTACTGTAATTCCTTTTCACAAACTGGAAGCTTAGTTGGGTGGGGTCTTGCCATGAGGTCACCACTCCCTTTATTCCATTTAGCATCAGGCTTTTCTTTAAACTTTTCCTGGTTTCCCTTTTCCCCTCAAACTTTCCTTTTTGTATTTTTCCTTGCTCAGCTTGTTCCTTTTCCTTATAAATCTGCATAAGATTGGCCACTAGCAACACAGTCTATACTAGGCTCTCTGGAAATCTCCTATGCCAAAGCTGTTAATCCATAACTCTTCAATTTAGCCTTAGGCATATTTTTTTTACCATCATGGCAGGAAGCATGGCAGTGTGCAGGCAGCCATGGTCCTGGAGAAGGAGCTGAGAGTTCTACATCTGGATCGGCAGGCAGCAGAAAGAGAGAGACACTAGGACTGGCTTGAGCATTTGAAACCCCAAATCCTACCCCCGAGTGACACACTTCTTCCATCAAGCCATACCTACTCCAGCAAGGCCATACATCAAATAATGCCACTGTCTATGAGCCTATGGAGGCCATTGTCATTGAAACCACATCTGCCAAATTGAATCCTTAACTCCAAGGACTTTTAAAACTGTGACTTTTTACTCCCAAGTCTATGATAGGAATCTACCTTCTAGGTGAAACTGACTGGTAACAAGCTGCTTCTGTCACTAAAGCATTCAAACTACATTCTATAGACCCTGGACCTGCGGAGGGGTAGGAGAGAAGGCCTGGTATTAGGAATGAATGACCTTGACCCTCGCAGCCCTTGAGAACACATGGCATAGGTATGCTGAGATCTCAGTGCCCACATAGATCACCTAGGAGGTGTAGATGAGGCCTGAGTTTCTATATTTTCAGCAAGCTGCCAGGTGACATTCACTCTAGTGCATGAATCACACTCTGAATAGAAAGTTCTTGGAGATGAGGGTAGACTTCTGAGAAGTTAAGATAAGATAAGCCGCTATGAGTGGGCATGGTGGCTCGTACTTATAAATCCCAGTGCTCAGGAGGCTGAAGTTTAAGTAGACACACAATGAACCAGAAATAAAGTAATAAAAAATATGCATTAAAAATAATTTATATTCACTGGTTTGGTTTTTTTTTTTAACTAAGTGTAGGCCATTGGACTGGTCTCTGGGATTAAAAACAAACAAACAAAAAAACCAAAAAGATGAACAAGATCCAAGACAAAGGCCACAGAGAGCACACACTCAGAGTGTTAGGTCCCTAGTGTCATATTTTAAACTGGTCTTATGCGGGAACTTTTCCTCAAGGGATTTCAAGGGTGGCTTGGCATACAGAGTTCGATCTTATCCCAAAGAAAATGAAGCGTCATGTTACAATGGAGAAGCATTTGGAAGAGGATGTGAACATAACTATAGCCATTTGACTCTCCTGCATGTGAAATTTTAAATTAGAAAGATGATCACAATATCTATCATGAGGGGCCACTGTAAGAACTGAATTCATAATGCTATGAGAATTTATGAGAATGCCCGGTACACAGTTATTACCAAGTTGAGTTGTGAAAACACATGCACCAGACTTTGTATTGGTCCCTGATGGGAAAAGGTGCCCCCAAGGACTAGACCTAGATCCTTGAGGCCATGGACTGTCTGTGGTTCCAGAGATCCTGTTCTTCATACTACATTGCATTTATTACATTTATAATATTTGGTATTTAACATCAGTGTCTGTGGAAGTTGTTTCAGTAACAAAGTTATTACTGCCTAAGTGTGACTTTTTTGGCTTCAAAGACAGAGAGATCCAGGGACCAAACCAACAGGAAACAGGTCTTTCACCCAAGGTTAGGACTTGCAGACTGCCAGACTTCAAGTCCCAGAGAAGACTGAATAACAAAAGTTGAGACAGTGAGGATATAACAGCGCATTGACTATCCTTTTCCAGCCAGTGGTCACAGTGTTTTCTAATTTCATAAATTGTATGTGACATTTTCTTCCTTGGATATAAACCATAGATGGTTTTTTTGGGGGGCCAGTAGTCACCATTAAGAATTCAGCTTGTGAAGCTCAGTAGTTAAGAATACTAGTTGCTCTTCCAGAGGACCTGAGTGCCCAGCACCCATGTTGGATGGTTCATAACACCTGTAACTCCAGCTCCAGGGCATCCAGTGCCCTCTTCTGGACTCTGTAGGTACCTGCACACGGTGATACATATTTATAAACATAGAAATACTTTTAAAAAAGGGTTTTGGCTTGTGGTGCCATTATAAAGGACACAGACCATCTTCACATCTTTATACTCGGTCCAAGCCGACAGGTGACGTCCCAGAGTGCTGCCCTGAGGTCAGTGTTTCTTGTTAACAGACTTACAGACTCTTCAGTAGAACCCAACACGGCAGAGCAGGTGTGCCGCTCACTAAGACCAAATCCCTGACAAGCAGGTTCCCGGTTATAACAGGTATATAGCCCATCTTGGTTAGGGAAGGCATGGCCTTAGGAGTGTGAGGTGACACTATCCACAGTCAAGAAGCAGTAAAAAGGACAGGAAGTAGTCTGGTCTGTAAAACCTCAGGCCCACCCCCCCATCTATGCCCCACCCCCATCCTCCACGCTGGCTCCAAGACCCAAATGCCAAATGTCTACAGCCTTCCATAACAGCACCTGGTGGGGACCAAGTGATGTTCTGATACGTGAGCCCGTGGGGGCAGACCACATTCAAACCACAGCAACAGGAGGCAGGGGGCTTTACGGTGCCTTCCAGTGAGAATCCAGACATGAGAAGAGACTTAGACCTCGGCACAGCCTGCCATAACATGTATATATACCTATACAGTAAAATCCAGAACGACCACCCAATCTTTGCTAAAAGAAACGAACACTTGAAGTCTGAGCAGAGGACTAAAGTGCTAATGAAAGGTGTCTTTCCCATGCTGTCTGCAGGTCCCAGGAGAAAACAGAAGAAGCCATCGTGCTGCTGAAGGAATCCATTAAGTATGGTCCAGATTTTGCTGATGCCTACTCGAGCTTGGCTTCTCTCCTGGCTGAGCAGGTAATTGTTTCCATTTAATCTCACAAGCGTTTCTTTAAATGTTACCGCCAAGTGCATCTACCAATATCATCACAAGTTTTCAATTTTATTTATTTATGCACTTTTTTAGGTATGAGTGCTCTGTCTGCGTGCATGACAGAGAGAGTTTCAGATCCCATTACAGATGGTTGTGAGCCACCATGTGATTGCTGGGAATTGAACTCAGGATCTTTGGGAGGACAGCCAGTGCTCCTAACCTCTGAGCCATCTTTCCAGCCCTTCATCACAGGTTTTTATAGAAATGACATAACTAATAATTGGTAGCTCCAGTCAAACACTGGGTCTTACGTCAGCTAAGGTGCACTTGACTGACACAGAAGCCTCGTTTTCTCGCTGTATAAGGAGCAAACTGAGATGCCTTGCAGCAGCCTCTTGGCTTAAACATAAGGCATGATTTGATCCCACACATCACTTACTGAAGATAAAATCTGCATTTTAAACATTTCAAAAGTTCCAACAAGTAGCAAAATTAGAATAGACTATGAATATTCAAGTGACAGAAATTATAAACTTAGTTTTTATGCTTTATACAGCCATTCGCAGAACCTTCCTCAGACACAGAAATTTGTAGATTGGATTTGAGGGTCCCAAATGTAAAATGGCATTATAGGTGAATAACTCTTGTGTGTATTTTTTAATTTACTTAAACTTAGTGCAGTGTACAGTAGCCATGCAAATAACTGCTATGCTGTATTGATTAGGGATAAAGACAAGAAACTTCAGTACAGATACAGTGTTTTCTGATGTGTGTGTGTGTGTGTGTGTGTGTGTGTGTGTGTGTGTATACCAGGTCCAGAAGAGGATATCCAATGACTTCCTCTGTTACCTCCTGTCTTATTCATTTGAGATAGGGTCTCTCACTGAGCCTGAAGTTTACTCTTTTGGCTACACTGGCTGCCAGTGAGCTCCCAGGGTCTATCTGTTTTTACCTGAGTCACTGGGGTCATAGACACATGTGGCCATGTGTGTACTATGGATTCAAACTCAGGTCCCTAAGCTTACACAGCTAATCCTCTTACCCAGTGAGGCCTCTCCCTTTTCCTTTTCTGAGTGTTTGATCTGAGGTTTGTTGAACCTGCAGGTAGAGGAGTTACCTGTGTCCTCTGAACAGCATAGACAGGCTTCAGACAGGAAGTCTATGGGGTAGTTTGTTTTTTTTTTGAATGTTGACATACAGTGTTTTAAATTAAGGTGATTCTCCATGACGTATGCTTTCAGTCCTGGACAGCCTTTTAACTTACGTTTAATGAAGACACTGGAGAGTTTTCTAGAGAAGAGATTGCCTGCATCCCTTAGTATCATGTCTTCTCACTTCACCCCGCTCCTTCATCTTTCAGAAACACACACACTGCCTCTACCTGTGACCTAGACATGCCAAGCACCCTCTGTGCCAGCATTTTCCTCAGCCACCACACATCTCTGACACAGATCCATTTCCTCCTGCCATGCCAGTTTCCGCCCCCACAATACATTGAGGTCCTCTGTGCTGACCAAACTTTGCCTACTGCCGCTGTGCCTCCCATTCCCTTGTCCTGTGTTTTCCACTCTCTACAATGCTAGACCATCTAACATAGCTTTATGTGTTAATGGCCTCTCACCCACCTCCAGAATGTCTACTCTGTAAGGATGGTTATTGTATTTATCGCAGTATTTTCCCACCTGCCAGGCTGCATGCAGTCAGTAGATTCCAGATGGTGAGTAAATAAATAAGCTTGAAGAATGTGCAGTGCCCATTCCACAGCTGTTCTGGATTGTTCTCCTGCATTGCAGGGGGCTGGACTTGGGGGTCACACAGCTCTCATTGAATCATGCCTCAGTGTGGTGATCCAGATCCACCCTGCATGAGGACTAGTCCGAGAAGCAGTCATGGGGCACTATTCATAGTGACCCCAGAATGTCAACCATGAGGCTGTGGCCACCATTCAGTGTGTCTTTATGAGGCCCTGAGGGTGAGAGATCTGTGTTTCAGTGTTAGAAAGCCTATATATGTTTCTCCTAAATTATATTAAGTTTTTACTTTATTTTTAATCAGTACATGAAGATTTCTTATTTTCTGGAAAGGTCAATTCTGTCTCCACTTCCGTTTCTCCTCAACTGACAACCATCTGAACTGTATTATCTGCTTCTCTCTTATGGTGTTTTTACTTCTACATTTGTTTTTTTGTTTTTTCCCTTAATTCATATTCAGTTCATGTTCCTGCCTTGATTTCATTATGCAACAATGAAGTGTGAGTGAAGATTGTACTAATAGTTTCCAGCTCAGATCTTTTCTACCAGCTCCCCAGCCAGGCAGTAGACACTGAATTGCTCTTAAGGAAAAACACCACATCGTTAAGCAATGCTCCATTTACATCTACAAGTGATAACCAAGTCTGTTGTCTTGGGAGTTCTTGATAGACTGATACCTCTTTACATAGTCCAGCTTTCTCAGGACCATCTTTTCTTTCTTTCTAAATCCCTTCTTGCTTCCAGAACAATTCAGTTTCCAATTCCTGCCCAAACTTTCTCCACTTCCCCGTTTTATGGTGAGTCATATTTCCAGAGATCTCTGTGTTCATCACTTTTCCTGTTGTTATGAACAGGTACCCCAACAAATGCAGCTCAGAGAGGAAAAAGGGGGGGTTTATTCTGCTCACAGTTTGGGGGTGCCATGTGTCATGGAGAGAAAGGCATGGTAGCAAGTGGTTCTGGGGTGGTGGGAATATTTGACGACTGCTTGTCCACATCTCAGTGGTCCACAAAGCAGACAGTGAGCCCAGCTATAAATCTCAAGCTTGCTCCCAACACCCCTGCCTCTATGCAGAGAGGCTGCTGGAGAGCGGGCAGCACCGGCTGGGAGCTGAGTGTCCTGTAAGGGACATTCCACCCTCGGGCCATGACATCAGCATACAAACTCATCTTTTATTCCGTTTCTTGCGTTAGTGTCCTGAGATACTAAACCACGTGGGCAGGGAGACAGCCGCGTGGGCAAAGTATTCACTGTGAAAGCCTGAAAGTTCAGATCCTTAGACCCTACATCAAAAGTGGAGCAAGCATTATTCCTGCCTGTGATTCTAGCACTTGGGAAGCAGAGAGCAGATCCCCAGGCTAGGTTCACTTGAGAAAATCTGCCTCAATACGTAAAGGAGAGCATGATCGAGGAAGGCACATGATGTCAACTTTAAGCCTCCACATGTATGCACTCACACAAATGTGTATGCACATGCACATAAACATGTGCACCACAAGTGCATGCACTCACATACACATGCAAGTGTGAATACACACACATACACACCACATCACATTTAAAAAAAAACACAAAAAACCAAAACTAAACCAACTATTGATTTTCAGTGTTTCAGGCTCATCTTCCACTGACCACAGGTTTCTTTAGGAAAAGCATGTTTTAGATATATCTCCCCTGCTGTCCGGCTCTACTCTAATTAGTGTTATTGTTTATATACAAATAAAACATTGATGTGTTAATGCTGTGAAAAATAATGGTCCCTAGTAGGCATCCCAAAGTTTCAGCTGTATTCCTTTTCTAAACTGAGTGCAGTTAAAGGTACTGCTTTAGGGCTGGAGAGATGGCTCAGCAGTTAAGAGCACCGGATGCTCTTCCAAAGGACCCGGGTATGATTCCTAGCACCGACATGGCAGCTCACAACTGTCTGTAACTCCAGTTCCAGGGGGTCTGGCACTCTTGCACAGACACACATGCAGGCAAATCACCAATGTTCATAAAAATAAATAAAAAGTTTATTTAAAAACAAAAGATACTAAAAGCAGTCAAGATTTAGGGACCTTGAGACGTGTTAGCCCACCAGGACTGTCACATCATTAGTACAGTAAGCAGTCTCACACCAAGTGGTAGTTTGTTGTTTGTTTGTTTGTTTGTTTTAACCAAATAAAGGCACTTTTCAGGCAAAAATTTTAATATAATAACATATATACTGTTTCCTTAGCTGAATTTCAAGAGTGTCAGATGGGATATTTGAAAGGATTTCCTGGTTAAGTTATTTTCTGTGGAAATATGGCAAGCTGATGTGAAAAGCTATCACGTTCCATACAGTTAGAGCTCAACAGTTCTGAAGAGAAACAGATGATGCAGGAGATCTCCATCTTTTCTGACAGGCACACCCCGTGGCCTTTTTCCCACTCTAGGGAATGGGTGTACGTGAAATGCTTTGGGATCTGAGGATCTCACTGAAAAACCCAAGGGCTCTTCTACCCTCAGGGCAGCTGGTTTTAATGTGAAAGAGACAAGACAGCTGTAGGTGGAACTCAGGGCCCCTCCCTTCTCCTAGTCCACATCTTACCGGAATGTCTGGAATTCTTTTGGGAAGAAACAAGTTTCTGAATCACACAGTATGAACTGGAGGCCAGAAATCAACCGACCTGACGCCCTTTGAAGTCCCCCTTTCCTGGTGGCCCCACTCTCACAGCAGCCTAGCCTTTCAAACACCAGAAAATATAGAAGCAATGTTCTTAAACTTTTGTCAGCACGCACGCACGCACGCACGCACACACAGCCCATGCTAACCGTGGCTGTGCACCATGTCCCATGCGCAGGCAAGATTCCAGAGGCTGTGTGGAAGGATTCACATTTATCTGTATTTAATTTCAAGTCTGCAGGGAGCACAGCCTATGGGCTGTGAGGCACTTGGCAATTAGGGTGTCCATACAAGATTTGTCTTTTGAATATGCTTGGTTTATTCACACAAACATCCCTTATACTATAAGGCTAATATAAAAATTAAGCAGACATCTTACCAAACCAGGAACAGTTGATTGGACTAAAAAAAAATGTTGCTACTGGGTTCCACTGGGGAATCCTCTCTGGTAAGAACACTTGGGAAGCTTGCAGGCTCTTCCTATGTCTACAGTGAAGTCCTTCAGCTGTGGCAGACTGGAAGCATGGCACCGATGAAGGTCGGGAAGCCCTTGAGAGCATAGACCAGCAGCTGGAACTGACTAGT